TCATAACTTATTTTCTAACAATTTTAAAATCGGTTTTAGCGTAAGAAAAACTTCTGTCTATCGCTATGGCCTACAACCCATGGATTGTGAATAATATAACTGACCTGATGACATGATGTGCCATGTGCGTACTTCCTTACCTTGACGCTCTGAGTAAGTAATCCTCGAGAAACGAGCGATGACGACACGACCGGAAATTAAGAGACAAACATGCGTAGACTCGTTTCACTGGAATTTCTTCGCACTGCACACAAGGTACATGTTAATTATGGATAAACGCCGTCGCTAAAGCGGTTTGATCGAGAACCTGACGGCACGATTGGAGACTTGGAATTTTTCTCTACTTTTTCAATGGTATGATAAGCGTACGGCGTTTTATCCTAAAGTCGAGTTTCTGCCGTACCGTGGTTCTGTGTTGTGTTTTGTCGTACGCCACTCGTACATCTCATAAGTAGTTGACAGAATGTTGGTAACTCTACTCGACATAATGTGGTATAGTTTTTAGTATAGGTTCCGGATTGGGTAGGCCGTAAACTGTAGAGTTAAATGTTAATACTTAATATATAGTTAAAGTATAGTATAGTTTTTATATACTTCACATTGAGGCTAATCTGTTACCAATATTTCATTACCTACTTATCATATACAATAATTAATATTAAATAGTTATAGAAAAGTAGAACAGAACACAAAATGGTATACAATATGGAAACCTGGCTTAAAAACTGACTACAGGCCGATAAGAAAATATGTTCATTAAACAGCTTGCCAAAATAACGCATGCACAATATGAATGAAGGCGGGTTCCACTATATGCGTGTGCCGTGTACACGAAAAATGTTCAGCTATGCCCAGCAACACGGTAACGTGGTTAATCGTGTGGTAACCTTAACTTTTTACAGCGGCCAATCAGAATACGAATACGATACAAGCTACTCAAGATGACAAACTGCGTATCTGTGAACTCGGTAACCACAATATTTGTCGTTGGTCAGTGGTCTCTGGTCACCACTGCCGACGGTTTTCTCCGCGTCGCCGTACGTGAGTGCGTTCTTACCATGGTTCTGCAATCTGCAGTCTTCGGTGGTATCTAAAATCTAAAAAACCGTGTTTCGTATACTTTATAATGGAATAGATACTATCAACTATTATTTTTTTCTCTTCAACTGTTCTTCTGACTTTAGATCCTACTCTCCGCCATGCATGTCCTACCCATGTCAACCTCTTTTTCTTGATTTCATTTGCGATGTTTGGTCTTAGGAACAGTTCCTCGAGTTCCTTATCATGGCGTTTATGTAATTCTCTTGTGTGTGTGTCAACGTATGGTCCATAGTTTTTTCGTGGGATCCTCTTCAAATACTTTTAATCTAGTTTTTCTGCTTTCCCAAGTACCCATGTTTCGGAGGCATACAGTATAGGTACTATAGGTCATATCAAGGTCATTGACTATTATTACACACTTAAATAGACAGTGAATAATTGGCCACGCAGATTTGGAATACATTATATTGTATATATTTATTATTTACTAAGTAAGTGATGATGTGATAAGTATTAATATCGTATTCAATAGGGCAACCAACTACTTGTAGGAATTTCCTGATGCGAAAGGGGACTAAAAATATATTTTTGTTTTTAATTATATAGTTTATAATGGTTTTTCTTCCTACTGGTAATTAGTTTTGGCCTTTAAGACCATAAACCATTAAATCACTAAATACAAACTCTTCTACATATCACTTATCAATGTAGCTTCCCTATCGATTGGAGATGATTGGCTCGACTGGAGTCCATTGCCTTAATATTACTATTGCTTAAGTTGAAATCTTTTCACTTTAACCTTGATTTCCCTAAAGGCCTTTTTCCTTAATAAATATTTGTTTACCTTACCTAAATACTAAATAGTATTATAACGATTTGCATTAATGTCGAATACAATTGCTAATTTGAAATGGATTCTTAAAAGTTAAAGGAGGGGGGATGTCTATACCCGAGAAATGCTTTTGGCCGATGAATATAATATAATATTACTATATTAGTTATTAGTTATTACTATTACACTTTTCATGTTTGTATAATACGTAGTGTAATACACTTTATTACTCGAACCTCGACAGTGGATTTATTATATCTATAGGTACATATTAAATTATTTATCAAACACAAATTTGATGACGAGTTTAAAAATTTAGTCAAGAGTATTGCATAATTCATAAACTGTATTATTAAGTAAGATGGTAAACCACACTGTATAACAGGCGATAGTTATCATACGAGGACATATACACTGCAAGAGTGTGAGAAATATATAGACACATGGTATACCTTATGGTATAAATCCTTATAGCTCATGACCTATGGAGTTTATTATTAATTGTATGTACCCAAGGGCTCCAGTCATTTTCTAAAACACAATATATATATATATATGTACTGGATTCTGGAAGGCTTGTATAAATAACCGTAGGATGGTACCGATGGATTTTTAATGTATTAGTTCATGCCCAATGAGTATTTTTAGTAGGACTTTTTAGTCTGCTGCACTGCTGCAGATTATATTAAATATATGTAAGTTCATTGTATATATACTAAATATGTACCTTTACGTGTGGATATTACGTCAACGTGTGCACACTGGGAATGTTCGTTAAACTGATACTGTTTATCGTACAAGTAAAAATGTATATTTTACGATATTGTGAACTAAAATACAATAACTATAACTATGTGTGTACAAAATATAAATATAGCATTCATGCATCGGATATTCAAAAATAACACTTAAATCGGAAACTAAGAATCCACACTATAGAGGTACCCACCTATAATATAGATAATGAGAATAATGTACTATAACGAAAAAAAATGTAAAATTTATTCAAGTGCTAAAATCCTTTTAGGCATGGCATATGCAGCTTGCTTAGTCAGCTGCTATAGTTGAATAGTTCTATGTTAGTTGTTAGGCATAGAAATATTATTATAGTAGTGACTCATTCTATTTGGTCGTTCAATACGTAATCAATTCTACATAAATTCCATTGCCGATTTTCCTTTATCTTAAAGTAATACACTTTATAATAGACTAAAATATAAAACTTTTTAGGCCTAAATATAAGATGATATCCCTATTCCTTAGATAGGTAGTTATTCCCCCCCCCATCTACTCAAAAATAGATAGTAATTGTAACTTATAAATTATACAAAATGTTTCATACAAAATATTTATACAATTATAATGCACTTCTCGCCTTGAACATAATTTGAAACAGTCAAAATTAACTTTAAAAATTGCTTTACTTATAAACTTTTTAATTTTTACACATTTTTTAACAAAGAGTTGATCTGTACCCACAAAGTCGAGTCCAATCCTTGAGTGAATTTCCTGTGAATAAAGTCGGACAAAGTATCGGGCAAAATGACAGAGTGGGCAAGACCGTTACGTCCGTGCTGCAGCCGTGTGCTGGTCCGTTCCCAGCTGGAGGGATACCCGGACGAGTATGTTCCTGGGATGTCCAGTGGCGGAAAGTTCTGGTGCAGCAGATGGCAACTGTCAATGGACATGTGTCGGATGACTGTGCTTTCTGGGACCTAGTATGGATTGTGACTACAGTGCCGGCCGCAGCAATGTCAGCGGCAGGGTGAAGCCCTGTTTGGCACGTTGTAGTCCATCACGGACGAAAAAAAGCGACTGCTGAGTGTGTTACAACACCGATGTAAGAGTGGCCGGGGGTGTCTGAAGAGCTGGATATATGGACAGTGTTCACAGCTGCACAGTATAAAATAACGGCGAAGGCACCAGGGCGAAAATGACGTATCCGTCGAACATGCACGTGGTGAGGAAATTAACCGAATTTTCGCCCCGGTGAACACGGAATCGGTATGATTCGTGTCCGCTGCATTATCACCTAAAATTTCACCTACTCTGTTCGACTGTGCTACCGCTGCAGCAACCTGCAGTCCCGCCTGCGTCTCAAGCCGTCGACAACGTGCATACTGCACATCGGATCGTCGCCTCGTCGTCTTTCGTAGACTACAACGTCACCATTTAAGTATTATATTAACGACCATTCTGATTCTGCAATAGTGACGTTGTAGCGGCAGTGCTGGTCACATTCTATTACACTCCGTCCCAAGCACGCAGTCGCAGTACACATGTCTGTCGACAGAAGCCGTTGTTTATAAGTTTCTAGTTAGCAGTAATCACTGCAGATGGCATACGATATTACGATATTTCCAATAGTTGTCTGGTGTTTTTTTTACAGTCAAAAATAGGAGACTTGATATCTTAGTGCAAGTATCTAGTTATCTGCAGTCATCGTCTGTTAAATAACACATGACAAAATCACCATCATAGAATCGTTATTTTCCCTTTTAATTATAGATAAATAAGTAGGTAGGTGTTTTGTTAAATTTCATCATATATCATTATACATACTAGAGGTTCAAAAATATTAACGATAAGTGGGTTGTATTTTTTTTTTTTTTACAAACATTTAAAGTTTACATTTTGACAAAATTTATCAAACTCCTTAACATTTTCAAAGTTAATTTGAAATTATAAAAAATTTAATTTATAGGATTTTCATAAGTAGTTCATAATGTAACCAAAAAATCCTAGTCATACTCACGTAACTATTATAAATAGTAAAATACCTACCTAACTGTATACAGGCCTGTAGTAATAGCCTTCGCTCAGAATCGTTCTTTTTTTACAATGATTATATTATATCATTGAATTCAAATTCAACACGTCATGTATGATGTATTACAGTGACTCACTCGACACTTACAGTAGGTACAACAGAACGATAACTCCACTTGCTCGTCTTTTTTCCCTCGATCATAGGAAGAGTACAGGACATTTGTAGGTAGGTACTATTTAGTTTCCCGCTTCCCAAAGTACAAACAACATGCCAATTTCAATCAGGTGCCACCCTCGACAAGTCGAAATTGAAGATAAATGCATTTTTACTGCTTTAACAGGTTATGACATGTGACTATATGTGAGTGTTATGACTTGAGTTTTAACACTCAAAAATGATTTTTTTTTTTTAAATACCTACATCATTGTAAAAACTATAGTAATTCATCAACGAAATGACTAAATAACTTTGTTAGCACAAAATTAAAAGTATCTTAAATCGTGGTAGTGTGGTACACATAATAACATGCACACGGGCGCCCTCTGGCAAGTTCCTCTCGTCGACAACTTTACTGTTTAATCAACTATACCAATGCCACGGAATTCGTCACACTCGTCTCGCTTGAGATCGTTCCGACGCAAATACTCGATGGTACAATTAATAGTTGGTATGGCTATAATTTAGGTTAGTAGGCACGAACACCAGAGTACTAGACCGAATGTCTTCCGGGGTCGAAGTCGCCAGCCGGTCAAAATTTTGGTGTGCATCGCTGAAATACATTTTGATCTGAAATTCAATAATAAATTGCTGCTCCATTATAGGAACTTAACTTTTGAACACGATAATATAAAAAATTGAATATTAAACTGTACCTATTTTAAACCATGATTACTTATATTCATCGATATTAAGGAATTCCGGTTAGATCATAATATTATTATACCTAAACCTAATAATACTTAAATTATATTATTCTATATTTCTATGTTACTACAATTATAACTTATAAGCATGATTTTGCAATCATTATCGTCTTAATATGGCAGACAACAATTTAAATGTGTTATTGAATTATATGTGTGGCTAACCTGTATTATAAAATCATATGATAATTGATAAGGTTATGGTTAATACCACAGAATAAAAATATAAATCTTTAATATCTATGGGTTAACAAAAAAAAAAAAAATTACTATCTCTATAATAATTATTTAGTTTTTACTATCTACGGTGGATATTATTTGTGTAGTATTGACGGTATTGTTGTAACTACAAACTATAGTAAGTCGAAGTTGTAATAGTTGTTTGATTATACCTAATAACATTAACCTATTTAGGTTGTATTATTGTATTATCTAATCTTATGCTTATTTGACATTTCTCCTTTTCGGTATTTTTCAGAATTTAGATTCTTGACCTCGTGCTTTCAAAATCATTGTTTAGTGGAAAGTTGACTATCAATATCATTCGTGATTAAAACATTGTTAGTTTCAATTCAAAATGGTAAGTACATTTGTAGTTGGTAGCTTATAGAATTAAACTTCTCGTTGTAAAACATGATTTAAATAACATTTTTTTATTTTTTAGGACGCCTTTATGATGATACAACGAAAAAAGCTAACCATATTCACTGATGCTAAAGACAACATACTGGTTGATGAACTCAAAAAGATTATTGGATGTATGTACAAATATTTTTTATTATTTTTATTTTTACAAGCAATATACAATTGTATCATTTGGTACAGTAAGAATATAGATAAAAATACAAATATGGGATGATTAACATTGTTTTGACAAATAAAGCCACCCATCGATGACACTTATAAATTATTAAATACACCATTTGCGGTTTATACGATTTGGGGCATTACCTGGAATGGTAGCGGAAGGTAAATTTTTGATAAGAGAATAACATAATTCTACTCTGTGGGACAAGCATCTGACTTTTTCAGGCAAAAACTCGTAACTGCCAATTACCATTCTTATGTTGTATTTAGTATAGTTAAGATTGTTTGTATTAATATTTTGTAACCACCTTATTTAATGTTAATTTTTACTAGCCAGCATTAAAAAATATCAAAATATGAGTATTTCATAAACATTCATACAATCATAATAAGCCTATATCAAAAAATAGGTATGAATATGTTATGAAGGTTTCCAAATTCTTTTTTAATTGTTTATGGAATTATAGTTTATTGTGATGTATTAAAATACATTTTGAACAGTTAATTTATCAAGCATTAGTCATTAGTATAATATATAATAATAAATTTTACAAAAAAATTGTATGGGAAAAGCATTTTCTAAATTGTAGGTACTACATTACTAATTATTATTTTAGGTATCATAAAAGTGGCACCATCAAGTCAACAACTTTACTACAAAGATGAAATTATGGATGGAACAAAAACATTGTCAGAATGTGGTTTGAATTCTACTATTGCTAAGGCACAAAGTCCAGCTACTATTGGTTTAGCATTGAAGTAAATATTATCACATATTAAAACATTTGTAGATTATTAATTTTGTATGGTATTTGTAGGATGGATAATGGAGAATTTGAGGCTTTAGAAATGGTACCATACTCATTGCCACCAGAATTGCCATATGTCATGAAAAATCAAGAAACTAATGGCCAAGAACCACCCATGTAAACAGCAATCACTAAATAATATGTTCAAAAATGGGTTTTTTTAATGGTTTATAAACAAATGAAAAATAGCATCTCAGCTTAAACTAAGGATTTTTTTTATTATTGCCAATTGGTTATAGTATTTTTTTTTTATTATATAACCTTATTTTATATTTTATTTATAATCAATAAACATGTCATAAATATGAAAATGGTAATATAAGAACTAAATAAATTAAACAATATACCATGTTATTTAAATTTACTAATTTAAACAATATACCATGATATTCGATTCATTAATTTAACAATTTAAGTATTTCGTATAAATGTCTAAAATATAATTAATTTAGTTTTTATATTATTTAAAAAAAAAACTAATTGATACAAAATATTATAATTAATAAGATGTTTGAATTGCTATTTACCATACTATGTATTTTCAAGCAAGAAGCACTGCAAATAAAAATAATTTTAAAACATTGAATCGTTTGTATGTCTATTTAAGGAAAAATCCCACAAAAAAAAAAAAAATGTTAACATAATATAATAATTCTCCATATTATTAGCTCTAAAATTTAAGTTATATGAGCTTAACATTTTTTTGTGTTCTTATTTTTTCTTATTTGTTATTTAAATTTAATCTTATACAATGGCTCTGATATCCCTATCCCCAAGTATGATGGCTATCATAGTGAATTATGTGGGGGATGAGTGTCACATTGCTGGATACCCTTAAGAGGACGTCGCACCCGCATATTATGTTGTCTACTTGTCTCCGTCTTACACACGTAGAACATAGCAAATTCCACTCTAGGCAGATCACGTTTAGCTCCGTTAATTTAAAAATTAGAGTGAATTTACCTCTTATAAAATTTAAAGGTAAGATCATTTTCGAGGGCATCTCATCGGGTTTTTGTTATATTTTAATTTTAAAGCTAGTTATGAGTATTTAAAGGTGTGCAAACAATTTACAATTTTAAAATACTCATAACTCGCTTTAAAATTAAAATATAACAAAAACCCGAAGAGATGCCCTCGAAAATGATCTTACCTTTAAATTTTATAAGAGGTAAATTCACTTTAATTTTTAAATTAACGGAACTAAACGTGATCTGCCGAGAGTGAAATTTGCTATGTTGTACGTGTGTATGACGGAGACAAGTAGACAACATAATATGCGGGTGCTACGTCCTCTTAACCTATTTGTAAATAATATTAAAGTATTGAACATAAAAATACTACTGTTTTGATACGCTGATTACTCCAATACTAGCTGTGGGGTAGGTGAGTGCTAATAAAAATTGATATTTGCCATAGTTTTTTTTTTTTTTATGGTTTTGATCTTATGTAATGGTTTAAATATAAAGGGATAGGTACGAAACAATATACATTAAATGAAGTGTTCTTTACTCAAATCAATCAAACTGCCTATCGATAGTTGGATGACAAATGTATATTGAACATCAATTAAGTAATAGGATAAGTATGTTAGTAGATATCCAATAATATAACAAAGTATATTATAGTACAATTATATGGGACTCGCATGGAGTTTTCGTCAGTGTTGGGGGCGATCTCTGATAAAAGGAACTCGATCAAGTTTTTTTCAAATGAATGGGAACACGTTCACTGGAAAAATGAATGCATTCACCGGGTTGTTCATTTATTTATTTTTATTTTTTTACTATAGGAATTGTAGTAAGAAAATATTATTATATAATAAAATTAATCAATTTATTTCAAACATTCGTTCACATTCAAGTAAGTTCCATTTAAAAAAAAAAAGAATGACATTCATGCATTGTTCACTAAATATGAAAGTGAACTTGCCTTCATGAACGGTATTCTTTCCAAACACAAGTTTTATAACCGTGAGCTATTTTACGAGGTACCTATGTTTATTTTTCTGAATTTTTTCTTCTACCATTTAATTGGTTTATTTAAAAATTAAAGTATAGGATAATTTTTATACTTAATACTTACTATAATATTTTATTTGTTAGAAATTTAGAATTAACTTTTAGTCAGGCTCATAAACTATAAATGCATGGACTGTGTGTGCCCCCCTGAAATCTGGGAGATGATGGACTACCATTGATTCTGTAGTACTAACATTGTTAGGAAGAGATAGTCAATCTCTGTGCTTATGAGTTATGATAGTTTCAATGAAGGTGGATTTAAATCCACCCTGGTATTGGCATTAACATATCATGGATACTTAGGTCAACCAAACTGAATAAGAAGCATATTTTGTTCTCACTCGCACAGAAGCTTCTAAGCATTACAGAAATCTGCTAAAACATTATTGTCTTAAATTGTTTCCATTTGTTTGATTTTTTATGTGAAACGTGTTCGCTCACGTATGGCAATAGGCATAGGATCCTCTATTAGACTAATAGGTCACTATTTTCATACTAGTGAGGTGGCTAGAGGTTCGTGGGACCGAATCTATTGGCCACCCGATAATAATTGCTTTAAGTATTAAAACTTAGTATAAAGACGTTAATATATTAAAAGCGCGGTAAAATAGTGCTGTGCGAATGTGTAAAAATCGCAAAATAGCAAACATCATTTGGGGGTAATTTTGGAACCAAGTCCGACTTCCAAATTCTGATTTCATCATTGCTTTTCGTATACGTAACATCATAAGTTAAGGAAAAAAAGGGTCTGGTAAAGTAACAAAGTTCTTTTGTAAATTTGCAAATTTGAAATCTAATCTACAACTCTAGTCAGTACTCAGTAGTCACGTCTTGTACACATTTTCATAAGAAAATAGGTATTTTTTGTATTTTCCGATTTTCGTAATCCATATATTTTCCAAAATATTATGGAAAATAAAATAATATTATTTATATTTTTTATTTCATCGTTAATTGATATCAGTTATCACGGTCTCACCAACAACCTTATCATTATGTGGTTTTTCTTCTATACAGTCGCGCACTTTTTCCATGACGCGCTGCAATGGCGGACGGTCCTACAGCCTAAAAATTAAAAACATACCTGAAATCATAACACTATATTTATCATGAACAGACTTGCGAGAAGCGTCTGCTAGCTAAAACATAATTTACAAAAATTTAAACCGGGAAGGTGAGGCCCCATTACCCGACGGAATTCTGATAACTCGATCCTGCGACCGTCGCACTCTTAAATCTGTTGGCCTTTGAGCAAAAACCAAGTCAATATGAGACAAACTGCAGACCCGCGATAAGTGCCGCAGCGCGAGTAGAACAGGACGGCAGTACTGTGTCATTGTACATTTGTACCAGCTCTCGCACAAACGACGGACGGCGACAATGGGTCCAGACGGACGCGTCGGATCTTGTAGACCAGCCACCCAGCAGTGATAACGGCGCCGAACCGTCGGCGGTAGCGTTCAAGACTCGCAAGTCCCGACTGCCGATTACATTCAGCGTCTGCAGCCGAGCCGGTGAGTACATAATATTATTATTAGTATTAATCATTAATATTTTCGTGTCATTTCTCGTTGTTTAAAATCCAGTTGAAATAAAATAATAATTAGTAATTGAAATATTACATTGATTTTGTTGAGCGCACATCGATTTTCGCGCGCCCGTGTGCCTTGTGATAATATCGATAAACTTCGAATATTTTCCCTGGGACGTGTTCGGTGTTATGAATTTTTTTTTCTCTCTCCGTCACTGCCTCTTCATTATCTGGTATCTTCCTCCAACCACCGCGGCAACCGTGCCCTTCGCCCGGGTCTGTGAGGCCTCGCGTCGCCCACACTGTTCGGAGCTGTTGGAGGGAAAAATTTTACGTTCACCTACCCGTTACAGTGTAACACACACATCGTAAACATTAAAATTAGTGTTATTATTATTATTATTAAATACGTAATATAATAATAATAATAATAATAATAATACTGAGATTGTTTATTTTGTTTCCGAGCTGATATCAAGTTATAGAAAATTGTAATACAAATTACAAATGGATTTTTACATATTTTAATATTACACATTTTCTCCGTCTGTGACAGGTTGACGATAATAATAACTATTATAAACTATATTTATTAATTTTAAATAATATTATGTTGTTGTTCAAAAATGTATTTAAATTTTAATTGAACGTTCTGAAATAATACTAATAACTCAGAAAACTTAAATTTAAACATTATAATTTGATGTTAAATGTACAATTCAACATATTAAATTATTCTGACTGTGTTTAATAGTAATCTATCTTATACTTATTTATTGGTATTTTAAATTGCAAATAATTAAATTTCAATACATAATAATATGTTACGTTAAAAATTGCTTTTTGTTAAAATGTTTTAATGTAGGTACTTTGTAATCTTTTTAGGTGATCCTTTATTATGTCGTGTTCTAAAATTACCGAAAAAGCAGATGAAGAACCAGAAGATGAAGAAGCTGATGATACTTTAATAGTAATTGTTAAGCCTGATGGTACAGTTTCTATCGATCAAGAAACATTCAATAGAGTTATGGGTAAGTCATTATTTATAAACATTTACAAATTCAATGGTAGCTCATTTCATATCTAGCTGTAGTACATATCGGGTTGCTATTTTATTTAAACATAATTTTTTTTAACGATAAACAATACACTTATTTATTTTTATTACTTTTGTATTAACATCTAAGTAATTGATAGTTTTATATATAGTGTATACTTAAATTTAAATCAATTCTATGTTATTATTTATTAAATACTCAACTCAATTGTTTTGACTCTTAACATTGATATTTTCAAAATTATTCATACTTGAAGTCTACTCAAATATATATTTTTATTGTTAAACTAGAGAGCAAAAAAGAAACCATGAATATTATTCACTTTGAGAACAGCAGTAATAAAGGCATAACTGTAAATCCAGAAAATGGAGAGCAAGAAATCAACTTGACTGTGCAAGGTTTTTATCCATCTATTTCTACCAAAACATTCTTACCCCAAGGTAAGATAATATGAAATACATTGTATTATTTTCTAATTGCATATCAATTTTAACCACTAGGCACTTAAACTAATTAGATACATAAATTTATTTACATGCAGTTGTTTACAGAATAGAACCTAAATCTAACAGTAATGATAGTTTTCTCAGTAGATATTTGGTAGAAGAGCAAAGTAAGGCTGAGTATGAAGCACATGAAGTGCAGAGTAATTATTAATGTAAGATGTTAACAAATATAAGGAAATCTATACATTTAATTTTTTTAGTAACAACTTCCATTTTTTGTATCATATACAAAGCAGAGTAGGCAATTGTCTGAGGAATTTGATAAATAAAAACAAATATTGCATCAAATATGTATTAAATTAACTAAGTTTATAGATAACTTGAGAAGTTATTTGTAATATTTTGAGGAGGACACTTCTTCAATCAACTAACCTTTAAATACCTATGTTCAATTTTTATTTTTATAGATCAAAATCCTCAAAAAAATAACTTTCTGCGCTAAATATTATTTAATAATAAAAAATAAATATTGATTTTTGTCTTCATAAAAATTCTCATTAGGTAATGGTTACAATAATTTGTACATAAAGGCTCAGCCTGTATACCTATTTCATAATAAGTAAGTGTCTTATATTCAAAGAATCGCTTTGAATAAACTATGAATAATAAATATAATATATTTAAAAATATTATCATATTAGATTTATGAAATAGATGTAGACAACTTTTTTGTATGGTGAATTATCATTAATTTGTTCACATTCTTAATTTTTTTATTCAAAATGTGGTAAATATTTTTCTTCGTACATAAAACACAAAAAGTGTAAATAAAATAAAAAAATCTTACATAACACAGATACGGCTATAATATATATATATATATATATCTTCATTCTACAACTTTATTCATAACTACTGAAGTACAAAACATGTTGTTGTTACGTAAATTTCTGAAAAAAATATTATTTAATTAATATTTATTAATTTGTATCTTTTTTAATAAGACTATTTCTCTGAATATTGAATAAATAATTTAAACATTAACATTTATATTACATTATTTTAAACTGTACTACTTAACTGTGATTCATGTATGAACAAAAAAAAATTATCTATCAATATTTTGTTTTTATTGTTTACAATGATTTATTTTAAATATTGTTCTTTTATATTTCAATGCTGAGAATTCTTTTTAAATGTTAAAAGCTTCTCAACTTGGGATGTTGTTTAAATGTTTGGTTAGTACTGAGGTATATATAATTTTCTAGGTAATAATCATATGCTAGCTAGATTTAATTAAATAAATAATTTTATTATTAATTACATTTTGACTCAGGTATAATGTAACATGACAAAACTAAATTTTCAAATTAATGAATACATATTTTTATCATTCTAGCCAATGAAAATAGTGATATAACAACAAATAATATTTATTTGGATCATTGCTATTACAAGGATTGCCCGCCAAACATCCCGGAGACCAACATTTGTTCCCCTAGAATTACACTCTCTACTGGAATACAGCATATTACTAGTAACTATAATAATAATTAATTTGTAAGTAGTATATTTTAAATTTAAATTTATATTTTAGATGAATTGAAAAAATCAAATATTGTAAACGAAATTGAAGAGATTGAAGAGATTACCGTTTCAGTGGATGATGGTGAGTTAAATGACTTTTTATATGTATTTAGAGAAGATACATAATAAACAACCCAATAGTTTATATTAATAAATGATTTTCTTAAATAATTTGTCAGCTGATTAAAAAAAAATTTTTTTAGATATTAAATCAGGCATACCATCAATAACTGTATCCAATAATACTCCAGAAAGTAATTTACCCAACAACAAAAGGATGCTAAATTTAAGAGTTGGAAAAGTAATTAAAAAGATTAAAATATATTTTTTACTGAATTAAAATACTAATATTTTACATTTATTTAGAATGAAAAACAAAGAAGTAAGGCTCCTATATCTTTAAGAAATACAATGACTAAAAAGAAACCTGATGAGATACAAAGTAATCAATCCGGGGATAAAGCAAGAGCTACGAAAACAGTTAAACGCCTGTTACCAATGGTAAGATTTAACGTTATAATTTACTTTGTGTTTTAATAGTTAAAAAAAATTCTAGTTGTATTTAGAATTCTAAGGCTCGAAGCTTAATGGAATTTAATGTGTACAATTGTAGTTATATTTATTAGATTGATTTAGATTCTAGACATGACAATAGACACAAAAAAATAATTATAAATATTGTACAATATAAAAATAGAAGCTTTAAAAATTTTAAATATTTTTCATAATAGTTTTTATTTATTTTTTAAATTTTTTTCATGTATTTAAAATAGTAAATAAAACAGTAAAAATATATAAAAATGAAATAACAAATTAATAAAATAATAATATCAAAAGTGAATGAACAATTTATGTTATGAATGCTGTTTGATTAAAGAGATTAAAAATACAATAAACTGAGGGGAAGAAGAGTAATTGAGGAAGAGTATTATGGTCAAGTGAGAGCACCAAAGGGAACTGATAAAATAATACACAGTGAAAGCCACTCATTGGGACCACTTTTGGACCAAGGTAAAATGTGTCAATTAACTGTTTCATTTTTTAGGTGATTGGTTACTGTAAACTAACTCAACTACTAAATGATGTATGTTTTTTGTGTTTGTCATCATCTTTTGGAGCAGTAAAATTGCTTTTATTTTCTACTTCGGCTACTTTTCTGATAGGAAAAAAAATCTAGTTGATATTTAAGGGACTCAAAAGTAAACAAATGCCCTGAGTACATCCCCCCCCCCCCCCCCAAAAAAAAAATAAGGATAATATAGATGTTTTACGTTAGACTAATTCCCAACAAAATCAATTTTGTTTTTATGTGTAACTCTAAAAAAAGAATTGTAGGTACAAGAAATTTGCTCTGTTGTTTTATATTAGCATTTTCAAAATATTTTGAATTTTTAGCTATTTATAAGCATAAGAAAAATTTCATATTTATTAGTTTTTTTTTAATATTGTCTATAAAAGAATTTTACCTTGGTCAAAAAAACTAAAAATGTAATACAAGGGTCCTCATAAATTGTTATAATAGCAGTTAAAAAATATTAAATATACATAGCCGCAATCTTTTTTATAAGCTTTTAAATGCTTAAATTTGAAATTATAAAATGTTCAATATTATAACAGCTAAGGATTGAAAATTGAAAATAATGTTTCTCGTTAGCAGTTGATACTCTAATCAAAAAATATAAGAATACATTTTTCTTTGTAGAAATACTAAGTTCAAATCTTGAAGAATTAGATGTTATTGCATCATTTCGATGTAATAAATAATGATAAAACTAGAAGCAGCTCATCTAGAGCTTCATAATATACATACTCAAATATAACAAAATAGACTTTTACCCTCTCAATACTAAGAATATTGATGAATTGTTTATCTATTTAATTGACTATCTTAACATTTTCAAAATAAATTTTTTTTATTTATTAGCTTTTTGTGCATTTAGCTCAACGATTATAAGAGATAAAAATTATACTGTAAGATTTAAGTAATACATTGTTGTTTTAATAAATTAGATGCTAAAGCCAGCCTCCAATATAAAGTCTGTGATTAGATTTATGACTACTTCTGAGTTTGAATTAAGAATAGAAAAAAGGTTTGGGGGTGATATTAAGAGCTTTGAGAGAATTTAACAGACAATGCGTTTTGTGTGCAGAGAACTGTCAAAAAGGATATGGGGAATATCACCAAGACTTTCTGTTAAATGTAAAGAGCAGAGTGGAGAATCATTTAAGTCCAGTTTGTAGGCAAGGGCAGGTTAGGGGTGTGTGACCCGAGCGTATGTGATTAAATTGTATCAATGGTTGCTCTAGAAAGATAGAGGTTGTTGAACCAGTTATTATGAGGAATAGTAGGAACAATATATTTATATCTAGTGGACATTTCTGCTGGGATATTAAGCCATTGTGCGAACGAGAGGTATCTTATGTGGTGACGTATAAATGGAATGATATCAGTGTGATGAAGTTGGGTAAGAGGGGGACTTATTAGACTAGCCGTAGATTCAGCTAGATTATTAACTACCTCATTACCATGTATCCCAATGTGGCTGGGAATCGACAGAAATTGAATGGAATAATTTGACTGGTGAAGTTTGAGGGTAATTTGTTTAATGCGAAGAACTAGGGAGGAAATATGGGAGTTAAAAGAGTTTGATTTGAGAGCCAGTAGACAAAACATCGAGTCAGAGGCAATTAAGTAATTGTTCGGAGCTAGGTTCGAGACAAGTATTAGCGTTTCTATGATGTCATAACACTCCGAGATGAGGGGGGTAAATTGTTTGTGAAAGATATGTGTAATTCGGGGATATAAAATGGATAACCTGCCGAGAGGGGAGAGACTGGACCGTCAGTATATACTGTAATGTAATTACCGAAATTAGCATTGAGGTACTCTGCGAAAATTTTGTTTATCTTAAAATAAATCATGTTTTGTACGAGTAGTTCATTGGAAGATAAGAAAGAGAAATTTTTTTTCTGTTTGGACAGATAGTGAGATTAGTAAAGATTCGTATGATTGTTTCGTAGATTTCATAATATATTGATGAACATTTGCGAGCAAATTCGCTGAAGTTGAGAAGAGGGGAATTTATTTGAAAATGTATTGCCAAGTGAAAAATATAAATAGTACCTGTCAAAAATTATATGGTTTGGGTGAGCAAGATTCTTCAGAAGATATTTGCTGGCTAACCATCGGCATCTGATGTTAAAAGGAGCGCTGTTTGATTCTACTACAATGGCCGGGCAGGGAGTTGATCTTAGGTAACCCTTAATATTTCAAAGGCAGGAGATTTGGAGTATATTTAAATTCTTCCAATTTGAGAAGAAAAAACAACCTTAATCCAATTTGGAACGTATGTGGGTACGATAGACAATAAGGAGACCAGAAGGGTGGGAACCCCACCAGGTATTGGCCACTGTCCTAAGAAAGTTAGACCTACGGGAGACGGTAGCTACGAGTGATGTTATATATGGGTTCCAACGAAGTTTGCCATATAAGGTGATACCTAGATAAGTGATATTGGGAACATAAGGAATAATTTTGATATCGAAGTATATGTTAGGAACATCCGGGTATCTACGGCGGGTGAAAATTATGGATTTGCATTTCTTTGGGGTGGATTCGAATGAGACCTTTTCCGGTATGATTTTTAGATCCTTAAGGGCTAGGTTTTGGAGAACAACAATAGTGGGGTCAAGAGATTTGTTGGGTGTAAAAAATACTATGTCGTCTGCGTATATGAGGCATTTATGACCCAGAATCGTTAGGTGTTTTTCGATTATACTCATGTAAACATTGAAGATTTTTGGACTGGGCCAAATGGGGAGGTAAAGACGAGATTTCTTTTATTAAACATAGAAATCAATGTGTTGCAGAATTGTTGGGGAGCATGTAATGAGATATGGTGTGAAATAAGAGTGTGAATGTTGACTGAATCAAACGCACCGCGTATGTCCACGAAGGTAGCTATAAACAACTTTCTGTTGTTAAAAGAGTTTTATATGTTTTTTATGAAAAACGAGTCATTTCATCGCACCTCTTCCTTTCCTGAAGTCAAAAAGGTTATCTGGCAGAATAGAGTTTTTAGCCACCAGTCTAACCTAGATTTGAGCATGTGCTCAAAAATCTTACATACAACAGAAAAGAGTGCGATTGGAAAGAAGTTTTAGAGTTTTGTTTGGCAATGAGTATGACTTCGTAGGCATTCCATTTAGAAGGAATATAAAGGGTTGTAAAAATAGTGCTCATTTTGGTAAGGAGAGAATCCAACGCCATAGCAGAGAGGTATTTTAACATAGCCGGTGAGATATTATCTAGGCTGGACGAGGCGGATTTTCGTGAGGCGATAGGGAAAGTTAGTTCGTCCATGTTGCATTTTTCCATTAGGATATGGGTGGGAGAGATATTATAATCATACAGCAGAGCGATTTCAGATTCTGATGGAACGTAGCAAGGAGCAATTTTGAAACAGAAATCATCAAACCAATCATCGTTATCGGGCGGGATGAAGTTACTCAATTTTTAAATTTCCTAGCTACAGACCAGAAGTTTTATATCGAGTAAGACTTTTTTAAATTTGAGCAAAAGAGTTGCCAATTACTTTTCTTTTCGTTTTCAAGAGTTTGGGTTGTAAGGGCGCATGCTTTCTGATATGCAAGAAAGTCGGCAATAGAGCCGGTGCTTCGAAAAGTTCTAAAAAGTTAGAATCTTATGTTGAGTGATTCCGTACAAGTGGAATACCACCACGGTGGAGAGGATGGACAAGATGCTTTGGCTGAGTTGTATACAATTTTTGTGAAAGAGAATGGGCCATTGTTGGGGGTATTTTATCAGGTGAGGCGGAAAATGAATTATGTATTTGGTGTGAAAAGGCTGCCCAATCGGCTTTATTGAAATTATAGTGAATAGGTTTATATTGGATAGTCTGAGCGGGAACTAGGAGAATTTGTATTCGCGATAGAACAAGATACCCCAGAATCGCCCAATTTTTGTCTAATAAACGAAAACCCATTGATTCTGAATGCATCCAGTTCCAAATTAAATTTCAATGACGTAACTGACGAGATACCCAATTGTAACTTTACACTCGTCGATAACCAACTTAATGAGCCCCCGATCGTCCTTACTCCTTAACTTATCTGCAGATAACACTTCATCGTCACCATCGACCAACACCGATATCGATGTGTTTTATAAAAAAAATAAAATAATAATATTTTACTTCGTTACTTTTCACCGGACTATAACGGACCGTTAATAATACTCGCTGAGAACACTGATCAACCGGTGCATCCGAATTGCATGCCAAAAAAATAAATAAAAATCGGGTCGTCCGAATTGCATGCCGTCTCTTAGAGGGGTATATCCGAACAAATAACTTACTTTTCTGTAACTTTTTCTTAATTGGAGGATCGGGATTTTGTTACATTACAATAAAACATATAAATATTGTAGAAGGTAACACTGTGAATAAGAATCATAAAATAAAACAATTTTTTTCATCGACAACAAAGGCCATTAGTTAAATAAAACTATTGTAGTTTGGGGTAATCAAGTGAGTGTATTTTAAATAATATTATTTTTAAATTTGGTGGTTTTTTTTGACATTTCGGGAAACAGACCGAGACCACAATACACTACATTACTCCAATATAGATACTGTTTGGGAAAATATTTACACGGATATAAAAATATTTCAATCCAGAAACTAATCACTAAACAGTTGTAACAACCATACATAAAAGAGCGTTTCTATACATGCATTTTTAAAAAAAAATAAGGAAGTCCAAAAAAAGTTTAAATTGTTTACGTCCATAGTAAATAAACTTGTGGTGTACGGCATGCAATCCGGACAAAGCCCTCTTAGAGATAGCATACAATTCGGACAAACCCCTACAGGAGACGGCATGCAATTCGGACATTTTTTTTTTTTTTTGTATGCAATTCGGATGCAGCCTGATCAACATAGAAACATGGGTAATGGGCATCCCATTATCGTTGCAAAAATTTTCTCTACTAATTTTGTTGGCATCACCAACATCAAAACAGCTTGGTCCAAAAAAGTCAGAATTACCTTCAACACTATTAGCAATGCCAATAAATGTCTAAGTTATGATATACCCCTCGCAATCAGTTTTCACGTTAATATTTTTAGCAACCTTATTTATTCGTACGGAATAATTAAATTAGATAACAACATATCTGAAAATGAATTTTTCGAAGGTAACCGTTTTCCTGCCTCAATAGTTACCTGTAAACGCATCCCTATTCAGAAAGATGGAAATATTATACAGACTCCCACAGTCGAATTGAAATTCGTAGCACCTAAATTGCCATCCATCATTTCTATTTGCAATATGTTTTTCGAAGTAACGCCGAGCATCCGTTCCCCGGTCCAATGCAATCACTGTTTAAGATTTGGACATGCTCAAAAATACTGCCGCAGCGACGCCAGATGCAGTTACTGCTGCGAATCCATGCACTCAATAAGACTCGTGCCCTACTGCGAAAGCCACCGACCCGACCTGCCACTACTGCGAACTCCCACACTTATCCACCGATCGTTCCTGCCGAGAGTGGCACCACCTAATAGATATTAAAATAATCAATCCTACTGTTTCTGAAATTATGAAAACTGACACCCCTTTTCACAACGATAACTTCCCTATCCTAAATGATACCCACCATTTTTTCAATAACAAAAAAAAATACAATTCTAATCTCATCCAGGTAAATAAAAAAAAATTACCCTACCACCTGAATCATCGTATACTTTTCTTATCGAGAGTTACTTTAACATTCCACTTGTCAAACCAAATTACTGATAGAAAATATTAATGATTTTTCCTGGATACACAGTACACACCCTATCCTACAAATTATCTGAATCTCTTATAAACTCTCCTTCACTCTTCTCTCCCTCATATCTTCAGTACCTAATTGATTCTTCCTTAACCTCCCTCCTTCCTATTCCTAACTATCACAACTGCAAATTAAATACGAAGTATTTAATGATATATATATTAAATAGTTCTACATTTAATAATTCACAACATTTAAGACCCCACAACGCATTATAATCAATATACACCTTATGCTCCACAATATCAACAAAATACATCTCACAACTAACTATAATACACTTCAATGGAATGTTAGAAGCCTCACAGCCCGCCTTCCTTCTTTATAAAATCTACTCATAGTTCACAGATGTTCCATCGCCATTATCTCAGAAACCTGGCTACTTCCTTCAAGCCTCCTGAATATACCAAACTTTCAAACCTTCAGAACCAATCGCCTTGATGGTTATGGCGGTGTGGCCCTAGCCATTCATCAATCTCTTAAAAATACATTTATTCAAAAAATAAAATTTATATCTAATTACATAAGTATAATTCAGAAATTAATGACCACCTTAAAGCTTATGATTGTTCAAACGTTATATTAATTAAGTATTATAGTACTCCAATGATTATTGTAATTTTAAAACCAAAAAATAAAAAAGGTTTGAGTATTTTGGTTAAAATTAATATTTTTACCACAATATAAATTTCTATTTACTTAATTTAATGTATCCTTTTCTAGAAGACCCATCAAGTTCGTCCATCAGTTCAAAATAAAAATAATCGACAAAAAAAATCTGATGTTATTGTAGATAAAGTCTTACTTCAAGCTAATGAATTGATTCGTCAGTCAAGTATTGAACCAAAAAAATACATACAAAATCAGTTGATGTTCAAAAAGAATAAAGATAAAATTGGAATTATTGATAATTCTCTAGATTCTTTATCATCTCCACAAAAATTTGTCACACAATTATTAGATGTACCTGAATTATTTTCTGCCCCAGATATTATTCTAGATGATAACAAAACATCTATTCAAACGGCAAATATAGAATTGGATTCTAAAATTGATGTTGTTGATAAAATTGATGATATGACAACTATAGATAACTTTGTTTCTAACACAACAAAAGATATAGAACAAGTTATTATAAATAAAGAAGAAACTGGGAGAGTGCGAAAAGTCTCAAATCGAATGAAGGATAATCCAGTTGAAATTACTGTAACTAAAACAGTAGAAGACATATTAAATGATATTAGTTCCAAAATAGCCAATCAAACCGAAATTATTGATGAGGAAAATTTGATTGATGAACTAGCTGATCTCAATGAAGACCTTAACTCTGTATGTAAACTTAAAAATGCATAACTTGATTTAAACTAATTTATGTATAATATATTTTATACATTTTTACAGTCAAATTTTGTTGCCCCATCTAACTCCAGTCATGATTTGATGAACAGGCTATTATCTGATGATAGTCTCAGTCATAGTGAGAAAAATGACTCAATAACATCAGTAACTGATGACAAACCTAAAGGTTCTACTATAGTGGTTTATGGAAAATCTGGTAGAGTAGTGACACTGCCTCCAATAGAGATTCCTAAAACTCGGTCATTAGTAAAAAAAGAAGTATGCATTTTGTCAATAATAAGAATAAAATTACATGTTGTATATGTATACAAATACAAATAATACATAATCTATTTTTTTTTAGAATCTCGATGCTAGTATAAAAGAGCAAGGTAGACAAAGACGTTCATCAGAAAAGTAAGTATAAATAACTAATATTTAGGGTTTCTTCAATTATGACCTTTTATGTGATACATATATTATATTGTATATAATATTTATATTCTTTTCCGTAGTTCAAAAAGCATAAATGACTATAGTGAAGAATCAGATACTGATAGAGAAGGAAATATGACTTCAGAGGATGATCCAAATAGACTGTGGTGTGTTTGTAGAAAACCTCATAATAACAGGTAATAGTTTTAAATACAATTTAAATTGTAAACTAAAATAAACATGTATAATTTAAAACTTTGTTCAGATTTATGATATGCTGTGATACGTGTGAAGATTGGTTCCATGGAAAATGTGTGGGTATCACAAAAGCCTTGGGTGAACAAATGGAAGCACGTGGTGTTGAATGGAATTGTCCACCATGTAAAAAAAAGAGGACAGAAGATGCGCGTAAAAAATCTGAAGAAGAAAAGGCCAAGAAATTGGAAGAAGAAAAGAAAAAAATATCAAGTTTAAAATCACCTATTAAAAACAGTGAAACTAAAGTCATTAAAACTCAACCTCAATTGCAACAAAAATGTGCTCAATGTGATAAAACTATTGACAATGTTGCAGTAGGCTTATTTTGTAAAGAAATATGTTTGGAAAAACATATTGAAGAAAGTGTAGCTGCTATAAAAGCATGTTGTACGTCAGATTCACCGGATATTATTTTATTTGACAAAAAAAACAGCAGATTAGTCACGGGTATGCAACTATTTTATTATATGATATTTAATGTATACAACATTGTTGAAGAAGTAATGATTCACAACAATATGTTTTCAGTTATTGATAGTGTATCATATCACAATATATCGCAATTTTTTCATGATTTTGAATTTTTTTCCAAAACATGAAGGTTAAAAAAAAAAATTGTATTTCCACTTCTATTGGAATTGGTTTTACAATGTTTTTTTTTTTTTTTTGGTGAACTATCCAAAGATATTTCTAATAGATAGTAGAAAAAAATCTTTATTAATGGACTTTGGGGATTCAAAGGCCTACCTACACCTACCTTTATTTCACAAAGCTTATAAAACAAACAAAAACACTATTCCATGACTCATAAGTTAACCCTGAACAGTATTAAAAAATAATGTTAACTAATAAAATGTATTTACTTAAAGTAAAACGTAAAAAATTACAGTTAAATATATTGGAAACATTTTTCAAATATGCTTTTGGCATAAAAAATAGCAAAATTTAAAACATACAATCTTTGAATTGAAGCTCCTTTAAGTCTCAAAACAAATATTTTGAATAATCTACACTTTGCAGTCATAAATACTCATAATTAAAGATTATTCTAATGCAACAAGTCCTCAAACTTCCCTATAACTCATAGACTATTCGTCCAAAATTTAATTTTTATATTTCAAAAGTAATCAAAAAAATATTTTACTTTGGCTAGGAATTAAAAATGTATGTAGTCATTAAAAAAAGTATAAGAATTATGTATGTTAACAATGAAAAATAGAAAACTAGAACTTTCAGAATGTTGTTTCTTAACAAACTAAAAAATTATTTTTAAAACCTTTAGTAGGTTTTGAAATAATGAGAGTTTTGCTCTAAATAAATCACTTAATGTACCTATATTTTTTTCACCTGCCCTATGAGACTGGGGTTCACATCTCTATAAGAGTAGTGGTGCCCAGCCAATAATACATTATGCACGGTGGAGTGACCTTGAAAGATTTTATAGGGAGTAGGTGTCCATGCTTTGGTAAAAAATAATTTTAAAACCAACTTAAATTAATGTGTATTTCAGTCATAACATTTTTATTAACTGGTACAATTTTTTTGTGTGTGTGGGGGTGGAGGTCGATCCACCTACTTAGTGTAGTTTTCGCTACACATTGGAAATAATTGTAAAATAATATTCGAAGAAAAAATATTTAATAACTTTGGTGAGTGGGTAGGTAAAATTGCTACACCTGAAAAATATGTCCTAAGCACTACTATATAGACTCTATCAGTATTATAGAGTATTAGACACATGATACAAAAATCAGAAATATTCACGATTGCAAAATCATCATCCCCATAAATAATTTTTGGCGTTTTATAAAGTTTGTTTAATTTGTTTCATCAAAGTTTTTGTTGATAGTTAATATTGATGATGTTAAAAACTCCAAAAAAAAGAAATCTGTGTTTATTTGATCGATTTCAATAATAAACTAAGATGAATTAAGATATAGCTATGGGTGAATATCTATTTAGGGAAAATGTTTTATCTCAGTACAAAACCCTATAGCATTGATTGTTCATAAAACTGACCTCATATATTATTATTTCATATAAGTTAAAATTATGTTACAGGTGATCAAGCTCCAAAACTTGCAAATTTAAAACAATGGATGAAAGAAAATCCAGCATTCCAAATTTTAAAACCTTCTGGGCCTAAAACTAATCTGAACAAACTACCATCTTCAAAACCTCAAACTAATTCCAAGTCGACTCCAAATGCATTTAAATGTCTTAAAAAAGAAAACGAAAATCGCCTTAAAAGACCAGCCGTTAGTCCAGATAAACACAAGGCAAAAGAAATTAAAAAAGAATTTGATGTGTCAGAATTATTGCAACCAGATAAAATCAAACTGGTATTTGTTAAAAAAGATTCACCAAAATCAATATTACCTAAAAAAGAACCTATTAAACAAACTACTCCTCAAAAAGAACCTAATAAACATACTACTCCTCAAAAAGAACCTAATAAACCAATTAATCAAAAAGAACCTATTAAACATACTATTTCTCAAAAAGAACCTATTAAACATGCTATTCCTCCAAAGGAGTCGTCCAAATCTATACAACCAGTAACACAGATAAAAACCACATCCCTTTCAAAAATAAATGCTGTGCAAAAAGTTATTAAGAAAAAACCTGAACCGATTAAAAAAATTGAACCAATAAAAGAAATTTTCAATGAGAAAAAGGGTGAAGAACAATTGCGTTCCAATGTGCGTAAATCTCTATTGGAATCATTAAGTAGTAGAATATCTGAAGAACCAGAATTAAAAACAGCTGAACAAGACTTGGAGGAATTAATCTCGAAAATTGAAGAAGAACTTTTTAATCAATTCAGTAAGGTTGATCAGAAATATAAAACAAAGTATAGAAGTTTATTATTCAATATAAAAGATCCTAAAAATTTAAATTTCTTTAAGAAAATTATGTTTAAATGGGTTACACCCTATCAGTTGGTGCGTATGACTGCTGACGAAATGGCATCTCAGGAACTAGCTGAGTGGAGAGAACGAGAAAACAAACATCAAATAGAAATGATTCGAAAAACTGAGTTAGATATGATGAATCAACCAAAAGCTTTACTAATGAAGACTCATAAAGGAGAAGAAATCATTGAATCCAAGGATAATAAGGAAACAATAGTATCAGAACTAAATCCTGACATTAAAGTCGAAGAAAAGAAACCTCAGATTTTATTAAAATTAATTAAAGAAAAGAAAAAAAGCAAATATAAAGAAAGAAGTAGTAGTGGTGAACGCGATCGTAGACATCATAAGTCTAGTAGAAATCGTCACAAATCACACAGGGATAAAAAACGTAGAAGTCGTGACCGAAGCAGAGATCTTAAAGATAAAAAAGTTGAAAAAAATAAAGTGATTGAGACTGTAGCAGAACCAGTTACTAATAACATTGAAGGACGTAAAGATGAAGATATTAGTGATAGGGAACCAAGTTCAACTGTTGTTATAGCTACTCCTCCTCGGGTGGAAGAAGAAATTGGCCCTATATGGAAAGGAACCATAAATTTCACTGATGTTGCGCGTTGTAATGTAACAATGTCTCGATTATCTGGTAATGTAATTGGATTGGAGGCAGAACTTACTTTAACAGTTCTAGAATGTGTTGGTCGCATCAAACAACAAACTGTTTGGGAATATATGGGTAAATTGAAAAAAACTGGAACTAAAGATATTATTGTAACAAAGTTATCAGCTGGTGGAATGGAACAACAAATGTCCTACCTGAGCCTCTATCAATACCTAAGTGCTAAAAACCGTATAGCAGTTATTGATAGCAAACCATTTCCAAACATAAAAGATTTTTATCTATATCCTCTTGGGAGTCATAGTCCTATTCCTCAGGTACTATTGCCATTAGATGGCCCTGGTATTGATGATTATAGAACCCATTTGTTACTGGGTATAATAGTACGAAATTCTAAGAAACATTGGGTTCCATCTTGGAAACAGCCTGAAAATAACTATATTAATGACACTTCGGCTTTACCTCATCTTAAACCTGCTTTTCCAACATCTAATCAAGACAGTTATTCACCAAAAGAAAGTTATACTCCACCGAGATCTCCAACAAACAAAATTCTCAGTTTACCAACACCAGTCTTACCACTATCTTCAGGTAAACATTTTAAGCGCTGGTAATAGGTGTACTATATAGGCAGTAATTAGTGTAAAACATTGTATCTAAAAAACTGTAATTTATAGTACGATTGATAATAAATTAATTAGTGTCTTTTTGCTTTTACTTACAATATATTTTATTGTTTATATTTTTTTTTTTAGTTTTGACTGATGATGACTTGCCTTATATACCAGGAGAAGAAGAACCATACTCACCAGTAGATGAAGATGTGCCTAGCTTATCTGATGACATGAACACAGCTTCAAGCATTGAACAACAAATGGAAGAATTAACCAGAAAAATTGAAAAAGAAAAATTAGTTATACAAATGATGACTGCCGGTTCTCAAAATTCCATTCTTATTGATGATGATGTATGTATATTATAATATTGTTTTTCTCGTGTGATTGATTTATTTATTATTATTGTTGTATATAGTCACAAGATCTAGATGAAGAAGTCTATAGTCCTACAAGTGAGCTGGCCCCACTGACATCTGAAATTCAACTGCCTAGTAATATTAAAGATATACTTTCTTCCATTAACACGAAAGAATTACCTTCAACTGAGGCGGAAAACTCTAAAATTACTACAGATGTTGAAAAGAAATGCAGAGACCCTCGCCAACGAATTTCAGCAGCTGAACCTCCACCACCTGGCCTTGAAGATGAGTTTACAACACCTTGTAATCCTGACATAAGTTTACCTCCACCCAATTTCCCAACTCCTTACATGCAACCACCTATAAATTATATTGCACCTATTCCTTATCCTTATCCTCCACCTGGGTATATGCCTGATGCTTACCCTAATCAATATGGACCTCAGCAACCACCTCCACCTCCACCAAATATGGTCTTAGATCAAGGAAAATATAACAATTATAATCAACCTGGTTATGCTTACAATACAGCACAATACCAACCACCTCCCCCACCATCTTATCCAAAAACTAAAAAAGGATCAGGATTTTGGGGCCACGGTAGTTCCAAACATGAACCAAAAAAGAAAAAATTTAAAAAATCAGGTGATCGGAGAGATAAAGGTTCTTGGAGACGTATGTAGTTGTTTCCTAAATAATTTTTATGTTCTTGGATCGTGTTTTTATTAAATCTATGTTTTACATGTGCAACTTATTTTATTTACTTTGATATTGTTAAGATTTTTTTTAAAATATATTTTACACATTTTCTTATATGTAAACCTTACATGTATTTATGTTATTCATATAAAATTGTTATAAATTTTATTGTATTTATATATAGCTTAAGAATTAATAAATTTAAATGTACATAAATAATGTGAATTTGTTGTGCGGGCACTTTACAAGTGGAATATAATGTTACATTATTTTAAACAATTAAAGTGTACAACTTTTATACATTAAGATAATACTGACACTTAATTATGTTTTTAAAACACACTAAATATAATTATCGATGTTAATTTTCTCAATAAAGTTAGATAATGTGGACGTGTGGCTTCATTACATCTTGTCATTAGATTTTATTTTTGAATTACAACTTTTGAATAAAGACGTTTCTGTAAATTAGATCTTAATTTAACACCTTAGGCATTTAGTCTATATTGCTGAAAACAAAATCATTTGTTTGTTTTATCATTGTCTTAATAAAAATGTATGTACACAACATATTTAGTATTTTTAGACACTAAACATAGACTTCTATAGGTATTATTGTAATGGATACAACATAGTATTATAATATTTTTGAATATGTTTGGTGTACCATTAGTTTAGTAATTGAAATAAAATCGAATAATTCAATATAAAATATGTTGCACAGTTTTATTTCATTATCTGATCTACTAAATTTTAAATATTGTATGTTATGTGTTTTTGTGCTATGTATGTTTTTTACTAAGTACTTAAAAATTACTTGGCATGTAAAATTCACAAATCATACAAAACAGTTTTTTTCATAAAATATTACATTACTTCCAGTTGGAACAGCAACAAAGATGAATGTAGATAACTTTTTCTTTGGTTAGGTTTGGTGAGGCAGTATTACCTAATGCACGTCTGTGCTCTAAAATCTAGATATGGCACTCATAGGTTTCACAGAAAGTATCAATGTTTACATGTAAGTTTGTTTTCATATTATTCTGGGGCTTGAATATACTTTTAAGATATAAATTAATATTTATTTTCACGGCTTATTGAATCACAAAGATGCATACATTTGTATTCCCAAAAGTGCAATTTATAAAATACGGGAGCCGCCGAGCCCGATCAAACCAAATACGTTCTTCGTTTCACCTCGCCAAGATTATAAAGTTAATATTTTGTTTATACTATGTACGCCGGGTTTCACTTTAGGTTTAGAAGCGGTTTTATAACAATATTATTATGTACTTTTTTTTCTTATCCATTTAGCCTATAGTTGATTATTTTGTATAAACTGTTCTAACTTTGTCCACCAACTACTATTCCTGCAGGATGACCTCTAGAGGACCCCATATTAATAATTTGTTACAAAACTTATTATAGTGAGTACTTTTTTGGTTTATGTTAAAAAATGACTGAGTTATAGTAATCACAGTATTTAATGGTAAGTTATTACGCATTAGGTATTATTCATTTTTTTAACAAATTCATAAAGATATTTTTTTTGGTAAAATATTTATTTATTTTTAAAATGTTAAAATTATACACCATTGTGTAGTAATTAACATTGTGCGTGTTTAAAAAATTCATGATTATTAGCAGACATAATTTGTTCCACTGTAACTTGATTACATACTGCAGATAATTTATTTTTTCAAACATTTCATCATTGAGTTCAAATTCAAATTTCAATACCTACATCCATTACAGTGACCCACTCGATACCTACTTAGCATCAGACTAGTAGATACCCACTTGTTCACTTTTTTTTAATGACATGATTATTATTAAATAACTTAATTTGCTCAGGTAATGCTAATTTTACTTGGTGTTATAAATAAAAATATTTTTGAGAAAGTTTGTGCATACAATTATTATCTTTATATATATAATTCTAGTCACTTCTATGTCACTGAATTCCTCTTAAACGGCTGGACCGATTTGAATGAATTTTTTTGTATGCGTTTGGGTGACACCCTAGATGGTTTAAATTCACAATTTGATAAGATTGGTCCGACCCAAGGAGTTGCTCAAATTTACGAATTAAATATTTGTTTATAAACGGTTGCTATTGATTATAGGAGAAATATATATTATATATTTAGTAAAAATTGAAATTATTTTTGTTTATTGGTTATCGGGCAGATCATGTACAAGCATGCATACAGTTGAATTTTCGCACATTGCCTACCAAGGTAGCTGAGTTGCACTTATAGCCGCTCATCATCGTGTCCACAATCAAAATCAAAATAAAACATATTATTTATATTAAGTATTCATCAAGCGGGGTCCTCAATCCACAGCAGGTAGGCATAATAAACTGCTCGCATTATCAACATTGAGTCTCTATAGAGTTGACATTTTTAACGGACAACAAAGTGCACGGGTTCAGCTAGTATTAAATGTAAATATAAAACCTACTAATCTGATATAGAAGTTGATAAATTGAATTATACAATTACTAAGAAAATATTATGTTGATGGGGCTAAATCCCCTCCGAGGAACATACTAATAATTTAATAAAGGTAACATACTAAATTATAGACTATAACACAATATACAATAATTTAGACTTTGCATAGTAATCTGGGGTGGTAGGTACCTATAAAAATGTTCTTAATTCCTTAAGAGTACAAAAAAATAATTTAATTTTTGGATGTTTAAAGAATGACAATCTTACTGTGTCTACCCACTCTAAAACGCTACAATGTCTGTGTATAAAAGGTCTAGTTTCTTCTTCTGTAAACAGACAAATTTATAAGTGAAAAAATCATTTTACAAAATTACAACATAAAAATAGTATACATATTGCACACAAACATTTTTTAAACAAAAATTAATTAAACTCTGCCAATTGATGCCAAAAAAATATTATGAATGATAACTGGTACCTACTAATATCAAGATTTGTACCTATGAATAATTATTTAAAAGTATTATTTCATGAATTAGTTCAATATTTATAATTTAATAGTAAAATTCCAATTAACAATGAAATGAACTTTTTATTTTTTAAATCAAATTTAATAGCTTTTATATGTAATTTATAATACCTAATCCTGCCGGACCATACGAGTAGGCATTTTTGTTATATTATATTAAAACATTGTATTGTATTTTAATATTTAATAAAAAATAATCAAATCAAAAAAAAAATTTTAAATTTTAAAATTTTTTTTTTTAATTTGGAAACTGCTGGATTGTTGGTGTGTTTATACCATCATTGGTTAGTTCAATGTAATTATGAATGGATAGTATGATACGCTAAATATGTATGATGGTAAAATGATGTATTATTACAGTATTTCTTACAAAAGCAATAATGAGTTGAGGTTGACAATCTGTCTTGCTGATTAAGTAACCATCTATAATTGTATTATATATTTATATTACTGTTAATGATTTATTTTACTATTGGTAATTTGATAAGCTAAATTACTTTTTGAAGAAATTATCTCAATTATTATAAAATTATATGTTTATAAATTTATTTCATAAATTATTGTTATTAACTTTACAGTTAAAATCAACTTACCGTAAGACTGTAAATGGGTTAATTATTTGTGGTATGAAATGTCAATAGACAATAGCTTACAATCAATCTAAACATTTTTAAAAGTAATAAATTACTAAAGATTTTTATTTTTTGTTGAATTTCTGATATCGTCAAAATTTGAATTAGATTGTTCTCAAAAAACATATGAATCCCTTACATAATATTTTTTACTACAAAATAAATTGTACCAAAGTTCAATATATCTAATATATAAAAATCTTGTGTCAGAATATGTTTGTTACCAAACTCCTCCAAAACAGCTGGGCCAATTTTCATGAAATTGTATGTGTATATTAAAGTGGTCTCAGAGAGAGATGCAAACTATTTTTCATACCCCTAGGTGTAAAGAGTGGCTCACACAAAATATTTTTAAATATTTAAAGTGTAAATTGTATAATAATAATACATACCTAGCATACAACAACACTATGGTTACCCAATATTAGTACCAATATAACTTTTAAACGATAAAATACCTACAACTTACATAAAAAAACAGAGCATTATATTGCATATTAGGGGTTTTGGTAAGTTTTGATGGAATATTTTTGTTTTTAAAAATGTCAGCAATTAGACATACATACTTAAGTCGCAGAACTCACAATGCTACAAGGTAAAGACATACAATATCAAGTAAAACACATAATTTAACAGACGGAAAGGTCATTTGCAGGTTACTAGAAAACCGCTGGCTGCCGCGCCATAAATTATGTATATATATAGTATATAGTATATATATACATTATGTACAACGTTTATTTTAATTAATAACTCATTTTCTAAATTTTTTTTATTTTTTTGGTTGCCAATGGTTAATCGGGCAGAACAGACTAAATAATACTACAATAAAAATAAAAAATTTAATTTAAATAAAACATATTATTCATATACCACCGCAGGTGGATTGCCAACCTGATAATATACTGCTCGCATTATCACCATCAAGTCTCTCATATAGAGATGGTGTTTTTAACGGGAAACAAAGTGCACGGGATCAGCTACTTCTAGTATAAAATGTGAATAAAATTAATATATTAATTTCAAAGTTTATGGTCTAAAAATATGAAAGTATTATTAACATGTAAGAGCACAGCTGATGAGAGATAAAACGTATTCAACGCTGGCTGCTAATGTTGGTTGTGCTTGATGCTGTGCAAGACAAATGTTAAAGGGCAATTTTTTTCATATCAATACTAGTAATTGGTCACACATAAAATAATGGCTAATTCTTAAGACATTACAATAAAATATAATAGCATGATTAATTACTTGATATTATACAAAACTGTTTATTTTCTATACATGATCATGATTCATTGTATGTACAATTAACATTACAATTATTAATTAACCAACGATAAGTCGAGTTTTTAAATAAACAGATATTCATAATATCATTTGATATATTCATACATATTTAGGCTTTAAAATTAATGAATGGTAAAAATATTGTTTGTAAAGATAGATTTATATTTAATTTACAGAAATAAAGTATTTAAGTTAATTGTTACATAATCTTCATTGAGATTTATATTTGCAATATAAAAAGTTAATTCAGAAAAACATAATGGAAATTGACCAAACAAAAAGGCCTTACCTTAAAAGATAAGTTTCCATGAACATTTGATGAATGCTCATAAAAACCTAGCTACATAATTATTATTAGTTAATCATTAAACATAGTTTAAACATCTAGTCTTGCTGTACAAAAGGATTGGCAATTGCTTCCATACCATCAACAGGACAAATTAGTACGATTGATGTGCCTCGACAAACAACTAAACCTAATGTTCTTGTATCTTCTGTTAGTTTCATAGGTTCATCAGGATCTCGTAAATACTCTAGAGTATTATCCAATACGAGATTTACTAATGGATCAAATCCTTTCAAAATACCAGATACTTCTCGACCTCCAGAGAACTTAACTCTAATGGCTTTTTCTAAGTACCTAAAAGAGCATAAAAATATATTATAATCTCGGTATGTTAGTAGCACCATTAAAGATAAATCTTTAATCGTGATTAGTAGTAATATTCATGCAATTAAATTTTATTTATGCTCCACTAACCTTGTTAAATCTAAAATACTCTCCTTTTTCTTTTTCTCGGGAGCTGAAGTCGCTTCTTTTCCACTCATTTTTAATAGTAAATAACTTTACTAATAACTTAAACTTTTGAATTCGTTGTCGTTCAAAAATGGATATTTTTATTTAAATCTCTGGTAATTGGTAAATAATATCATAATCATTATTACTATCAAACATGTTTATACTTTATAAACATAACCAATAATAGTATTGGTAAACGGTGAACGGAATATTCTACCGGTTTAACCACTTATTTATACCATGCTTCATGTGTGATTTATAGTTGGTTGTACATTTTTGGTATGTGATAAGTCGTTACGATAAACGATACAAGTTACTGAATTCACGGTCTTCTTTCTCAGGAATCCCAAATTAACCGGATTATTTTGAATTTAAGACTTAAGTATGATATGAATCAATTTAATAACTAATAGTTTTCTTACTATGGAGATTTTCCGTTATAATTTACCCGATTGCTTTTGCTACTTTGCCCTTTAAATGTTTTATTGATTTCTTCATCACTAAAATGTTTATGACAAAGGTGATAGGTATGAGACATTTTGGTTATTACCATTCCAATTATTTATAAAGTTTGTCCACGATATACGAGTAGATTCATCCTTAGGTATGATAAATAAAGTAACATTTTCCATATTACTTATATTTACTCAACTGTCACATATTAGAATTGAACACAAGTGACTCATATTAAAATGTTTAATAATGTGATGTATATTAATACGAATACGATACAACAGGTATACATATAGGAAAAATAATTTAAATATTATTAATATTCATCTATTTTTTGTTTTGCCTTTATATTTCATAAGTTTGTATTCAAAATAAAATATATTTCCATAAAAGTTAAATTTGAAGTATAGTAAATTTAGTACATCACTAGATAGCATTACAGTCGCAAACGTACGAACCCGTACCACAGAATAGATAGTGCACTAACACTTTTCATATTATAATCTGTGCCGGTGTCCGACACTATCCCTGCCAGTAGTTTCCAGTCCTATTTTATTCTGTGGTTCTATATGTTCGTGTATGTATCAACTTAGAAAATAAAAATAAAAAACAGTATTTATACGGATTTAGCTAGTAATGGTCGGATGTGGAAATAGATAGTTTCACGTCGAACTAGAAAATACCCACTGCGTTAGTCAACATGAGTCGCCGTCGAGTTCATGACGGTTACGAAGATGTATATGGTAAGTTTTTTATTAAATTTTGTTACATTCCCCGACGTCGACTAAATAGAACCAGTTGTCTTGTTCACTACACTTCTACACAATTAATAATAACGATAAAAAATTAAAACATTAGGTAGGTACCTAACTTAATTATTTGAGTTTTGTGTTACCGGTAGGCTTCTTTTCACTTTTCTCTATGCCCACATCTCGTTATATTCCATAACACACTCTAAATCAGTCTTATTTTGGACGTGCCCAATGCCCATAAATTAAATGTTTGTTCATTTAATGCAAATAATAATGTATTTTAAACTTAACTTTACTATCATACACGCGTGTATAACCAATTTTTTATATTGATGTTTATAAAAAAGATTAAAAAAGTATGAAAATATATTTTAATTGAACTACAATATTTAAGAAATTATATTGCTCAATTTGATAATCACAATTTACAGTTGTCATGTAGTTGAATATGTATATCCAAGTTAATTATTGTAGTTTACTGTGATTATGTATAATAATTAATTGGTATTTACAACTTTGAGTAGTGTATAAAAAATATATATGTTTTTATTGTAATTTTTAGGTGCTGATCGAGGCTACAAAAAGCGTCGTCGTGGTGGTTCTGAAAGTAATGATTTAGAAGATAGATTGGAAAGTCTTGTCCTTAAAGTTGGAGAAAATGTAATTTTTTTTGTTATTAATAAGCTTCTTTTTATTAATCATACATTTTACCAAAATATTGAACTAAAATTTCTTTTAATTTTTGCTTATGATTTCATTAATTTTAGTGTTTAACATTATTTTGTAAATTAATTAGTTTGATCAATTATTTAATATATCTATTAATAATATATTTTTTTTTTTTATGAACAGACTACTAGCACAATAGAAAGTAATTTAGAAGGTTTGGCTAGTGTGCTAGATGGTGATATCCAAAACTTTAAGAAAAAAGTACTCAAATTATTAGTAGAATGTGCAGTTAATATGCCGGAAAAGTGTACAATTTATTCAACATTAGTTGGCTTATTAAATGCTAAAAATTACAATTTTGGTGGTGAAGTAAGTGAACTTAATTTAATAATAAAATACCTACAATTTTCTTATTGTAGTTATTATTTTATTATGTATGCCTACAATTAATCTTAACTTTTTTTTTAATATTTAGTTTGTAGAAAACATTGTACGTTCTTTCAAAGATAGTTTAAAAAATAACTCTTGGAATGAAGCTAGAGTAGTTCTACGTTTCATTGGTGATTTGGTAAATTGTCATGTTGTGTCAGCTAGTTCATTTGTACAATTAATGAGTAGTTTATTAGATGTTACTAAAGAAGATGGAGTTCCTAATGTACGCAAAGACTGGTAAGTAAAAGAATGTATAGTTAAAAAGTATTATCTTAACGGTAGATGTATTTGTTTTTGACAGGTATTGTTATGCTGTTATGTCATGTTTACCGTGGGTTGGTAGAGAACTATATGAGAAAAGAGAATCACCTCTTGAAATGTTGTTGACAACAATTGAGGTATATTTGAATAAGCGTCCAAAAAAGCATGTCAATATGCTGCGGATTTGGTCCACAGATGTACCTCATCCTCAAGAAGAGTACTTGGAATGCTTGTGGAATCAGGTAAAAAAACTGAAACACGACAGTTGGACTGAAACCATTATACCAAGACCTTACTTGACGTTTGACAATGTTTTGTGTGAAGCTCTTCAGCATAATTTGCCATCCATTGTGCCACCCCCTCATCATAACGCTTGTGTATATCCAATGCCATGGGTTGTATACCGAATGTTTGATTATACAGATGTTACTGATGTGAGTTAATATTAAATAACAATATAATTTAAATTTAGTTTTTGTTATTTATTTACAAACTTATATATACATTTAGGGTCACATTATGCCCGGTGCTCACTCTATTGAAAGATTTTTAGTTGAAGAACATCTGCAACAGATAATTGATATGTCTTGCAAAAATAGAAAAGAATGGTAATATTTAACAAAAAATTACACCTACATCTATATTTAATATATTTAAAACTCGAATGTATGAATTTATTTTATTTGATTAATTCTAGTGCAACTAATTTAATGAATTTTGTACACAAAAACAAAGTACCTCTAGAGTATTGTATTGTTGAAGTGGTATTCAGTTTGATGTTTCACCAGCCCAAACCAAAGTATTTAGAAGTAATGTTTGGCTCTGTCTTTATTGAATTATCTAAATTATCAACTAACACAATGCCGCTTGTATTGGCTCAGACAACCGAAATATTATACTCTCGTATAGAATCTATGCATGTCTGTGCTTTTGATAGGTATGTCACTTTGTTACTGATTGTTATTCATAACTCTTTAGTAAGCAAATGTGTTTTTTAGGTTTGTATCATGGTTTGCATACCATTTGAGTAATTTCAAATTCAGTTGGTCCTGGCAAGAATGGGCAGATTGCTTAGCATTAGATCCAGAACACCCGAAACCAAAGTTTGTGCGTGAAGTTCTTCAGAAAGCCATGAGGTATACACGTCTTGAACTAATATTGTAACAATTATTTATTATTACAAATTGCATTGATTATTTTTAGACTATCATTTTATGAGCGTATGCGTGATATTGTGCCACCAGATTTTGAACCATTATTACCAGAGAAACCGGAACCAAAGTTTAAATATGCAATTGAAAAGTCCAGTAAGATATCAGATTCTGGTTGTGTTAAAATATTAAAAGCTAGTAATTGTATTTACTTTTTCAGCATTACCTGGTCAGTTTTTATCAAACACATTACTGACTAAAATACGTAGCAAGATAACTCCCGAAGATATAGTTGAAATATTAAAAGAACCTTTGATGTCGGCAAATGGAGAGATAATGGAACCAGCAGACATTGGCATCTCAAATCCAACAAAAATTGATGCTTTTGTGCAAACATTGTTGTTTATAGCCAGCAAATCATTTTCCCATGCTTTTGCTGCAATCACAAAGTTCATTAGTGTATTTAAGGTAAAAAATTTATGTTATGATCTATATCCAGTGTTGGGTAAGTTACTTTATTCGTTACTCAAATAAAATTACTTCACTTTCTCGATACATAAAAAAACAAATATTTTTTTATTTTCTAAACAATTTATTCTCATTCTACTAGTGACATAACTACAATTACACTACAGTTAAAAGGTATAATTTGAAAAAGATGTTCACTTAATGATACATACAATTAATAATAAACACTTATACATGATACGGCTGTCGACTAATGGACCAACAGCACTCAATCGTGATATTAAATAGTGTATACAAATAAAATCATAATAATTGTTTTTAAATAATAACTTGTAAAAATAAACCATTTCTTACAAAGGGAAGAAACAATGAACATAACATTTTTTCCACTAGCATTCACTACTATCAAGTTTAGATTATGAAAATGTTATAGGAGACTTTTCAAATGAAAAAGCTAGGAAGAAAACATTTAAGAGTATTTAATAATTGAAAAATGTATATCAATACAAATATTGTTTTTTAGGCAGTTATTTTAGTTTTTATTTAATGAATTACATTAATTTTTTTAACATATTAATGTATGAATAATATGGAGACGTTGAGTGCTAGAAGAAAATATACTAATTTGGTTTTCTTATCGAAACTTTTGAGTGGGGAAGCTGACGCTCCAGATATGTTAGGGAGGGTTAATTTTAATGTTCCCGGTGCTAATTTGCGCTACTTTTCTTCTTTCCCGGTCCCGTTCTGTGTGACAAATTACTTATATAATGAACCCATTTTGCATATGATGACACTAGCTAATGGATCCAATAACATCTAAACATCTTGTGTGTAATTATTTTGTATGTAATAGTGTATTATAATCTTGTTAATTATTAATGTTATATAAATGTCCAGGGCCTATCCCGTTTACTATTAGGTAAAATAAATAAATAATTATTATCTTAACGTTAATAGGAAAATAATTTTTGGCCGTTTATTTTTAAATTAAAATAAACAATAAAATAATGGAGATCTAAACAAAAATTCACTTTTTACTAACAAAGTATAATATTTAATAAATAATAAGTATGTATCATCATTTAGTATTATAAGGCCCACAAAATATGTTGTCCCCGTTGCCCCACAAAACCTTAAGTTGTCTCTGATAACGATTTAATGTAAATATTTTGATTTATCATTTATCAGTACATATAATATACCTCTTACACCTATCAGAAATTAATGTAAATTGTAAATATTATAGTGATAAGATCTATAAAATTGAATAGTTTTTGTACAGCTCTGAATTCTTTAGAGTATTACAAATAAATAACAATAATCTAGAAAAATAAATTGTATTTGTGTACAATATTTATATGACTACTAGCTAACTGTTAATAATGTTTAATCATAATTTATAGTAATTAATATTTAATAAGAACTTATAAAAGTTTAAAAACTTAATAACAATAGTCCACGCTAGATATTCATAGGAAAAATTCAGTGTAACTATTGTCATATTTAGAGAAATAAAATAAATATTTAATTAATTTTAATCGTAATCTACAGTGCAAGTAAATATGTCAAAATCAATGAAAACTGAATTGTGGCTACTTAAAGTTAACACTTGGTATTCTTAATGCTCACATTAGAAATATTTTATAGTATTATTATTATTTTTCAATTCACAATATGTATTGAACACAATACAACTTTAACGCGTTATACTATTACATTTTTGTTACTTGAAAATATTTCTAATGAAATTGTTTAACAAGTTAAAAACAAAGTAATGCTTTACTTTTGTTACTTTACTACCCAACACTGTCTATAACTATGCAATAAACTTCATAACAGAAAAGTTTTTGCATTAAAAAAAATCCTTTTCGCCCTAATACATGATATTAAAAATAATTCAACCTCTAGGCTTTAGGAGAAACTGATGATGGTCAATTGCAAATATTAAGGAGCACTTTTGATTTATGGAGTGCAGATCAGCAAATGCTAACTGTACTCATAGACAAAATGTTAAAAACACAGATTATTGAATGCTCATCGGTGGCGAATTGGATATTCTCAAAAGAAATGATACCAGAGTTTACCAAGTAATCTATTTATAGTCTGGTTTGTGAATAGTGATCACTGGGGTGATTCATGAAAGGATGTTAAACATTACTGATGCCAGGGATTCTTTATATTGTACTTTTGTTTTTTAACGGTGTTATGATATAAATAATAAATAGGGCTCAAATTTTGTAGCAAATGCTTTTTTTGAGGGGAGTGTGATAGATGGATAATTCTTATATATAAATACATTTTGAATCATTCTGATTTCAATGAGATAAATTTGTTTTTGATTCTTTTCCACGAACCCTGCTATTTATTGATTTTTCCCCTATTTGGTTCTTTTTTCATAATTTATACATATTTTTCTTTAAAATTTAACTTAATTCTATGTTTTTTATACTTGGACTATATTATTATTGCCAGACATTTTAAAACCAGTAATAAATGAATGACTGATAAAATAAATAATGTTATAGTGCTGAAAATTATATAGTTCTGTCTACAGTTTATTGACCGTAATTACAGTTGTATTTAAGACTTAAGAAAAGGGAAAATGGAAATTTATCTGAATGATATCTGCGTATTTTTATAGCACTTTTTAATACTTAAGTTAACCAGTAAATATCAATCAGTGAAGTATAGTGTTCTATACTCTATTCGGAATGAGATCGTACCTCGGTAGTCGACTTCTGTGACTTTGTTCCGCAGTGCTAGTCTCACGAGCTTTCTAGGTGGAAAAAGCGTCTGACCGTTGCGGACAAAAACTGGTCGCTGCCAAGGTATGATCTCATTCCGAATAGAATATAAATAATTTATCTATAATCGTCAAAATACCAAAAGTTGAAAATGAAAATCAATCATTAGCATCCATAATGGCACTGAACTAAAAATTACTGTGGAACAGAATGATTTAAATTATTTAGTTTATATGAAATATAAGATAACATAATATAACATTAGTTGATGTGGAAAAGTATTTTTCTATGTATAAAAATATATTAGCACCCAATAGGATGAGTTTTAATGAAAGTAACTTGACCAAATATATGGTCGTAAATTCCTTTTTTTAGGATTTATTTTGCTACAAAATCTGAACCCTAATAATAAATAAATAACCTAACACGTTTTTACAACAATTATTTTGAAAAGAATATTTTATAAAATGAACAATTTTACTTTACAGATACAGATTAAATAATAAAACAACTTTAAAAAGGATGTAATTTTAGAAACATTGACCGATCACTTTTCATAAGCCCAGCAATTTTTTTCAGTTACTTTTATTACTTTAATTTTAAATACTTATCCATATTTTAGGCTGTATATTTGGGAGATATTGTCATTGACTATCAATAAGATGTCTAGACATGTGGATCGATTGACCAGAGAGTTGAATGAAGCTAGAGAAAAGTTGCGCACAACAGCAGCGATATCAAATAGTTCAGACGATAGTGATACTGAAACAGAAAAAGCTGAGGCTAAACCTCGACAATCAACAACTACATTTGGTGGTCAAGCTGTTCCAATGGAAGTAGATGACAATGTTACCGAAGAAATGGTTGAACGTATGGAAGAGAAACTAGAAATGGCACAAGCTGATCAGAAAAATTTGTTTCTGATTGTTTTTCAGGTATTCTTCATGACAAAATAAAAATTGTATGATATTAATGGAATTTATTTTATTATTTTAGAGATTTATAATGATATTATCCGAACATTTAGTAAAATGTGATACAGATGATAGACCGTTTGACACATACTGGTACAAATACACTATTGGACGACTACAACAAGTGTTTTTAGCTGTGAGTTTAACAATTCATATAATAAATGAAACTGTTACATTCTTAATAATATTTTTTATCAAAATACAAGTATTACATTGCAAAATCATTACATATTGTTTAATAACATTGAAGGCAAAAGCAAAATATTTTCATTTTACTTAGTTATTACTTTGCCACGATCCCCTTCTGGTGACATATTTAGATTTTTTTTTATACATACATATTTATAAATTTTGACTATAGTGCAGATTTCTGTGTACTAAAAGGTGTTAAAATCAATGTATTATTGAATTTTATACTTGACAAAATATTATTTTAAACATTTTTTTTAAATTCTGAATTTTTTCTAAATGTACAAAAATATACAGTAATTTGCAAAAACCTTCTAACTATTACAATTATTAAAGATAACTGACGAAAATTCCAAAAATGTGAAAAGCAAAAAATAGGCTATTGCTAATAATCCACTCTAATTATTACATATTATTTATTATTTTCAACCATTTAAATTAACTTATCTGCTTTAGAAAAAAAATTTACTTGTTTCTATTGTAGATTACACATTATTTAATTCATACTAAAAAATGCATTAATCAAGTTTGGAATTATTATAAAATATACTCATTATATGTTTACAAATGTAAGGAAATCATGGAATATGTAAAAAATGTAGAGCAACAAACTTAAAAAATAATTAATTTAAAGTTGTATTCATACTCTCTTAAGATATTTTTAACGCTTGTCAAAATTGGCAAATATTTAAAATAATATGCTACTCCAAATTCTTGTTCGCTTTCACTCCTACAAAAAAAAAGACTCATACAGGTTCATCGAAAAAGTGGATGCGTTCACTAGGTTGTTAATTTAATTTATTTTAATTTTTCTATCATAGGAATTATAATAAGAAAATATTATTATATAATATAATTAATCAATATAGTTTAAACACATATTTATGACAAATAAATTATGCCTCATAAAAATCGTTCAAATTAATTAAAATATAAATGTCACTCATGTTCAATTTGGAAAAACGAGTGATGTTAGTGTATCATTCACTAAATATGAATGTGCGTTCATGAACGACGTTCTGTCCAAACACTATAAACCTGAGCTTTTATTAACCACAACATCAATTATCTCATCGTTGTCTTCTAATTTTTATCAATTTTGAATTGTCATTATTACAATATTACTACTCCACAAAGTGTTTTCATGATTTTGCTACTCTATATGTCTACTAATTTTGATAAGTTCAACACAAATGTTTTTTTTATTTCTTTTGATTTGATTCCTGTTTTATTTTTTTTCAGCATCATGAACAAGTGCAGAAATACAGCAGCACCTTAGAAGGATTACTTTTCACTCAAGACCTTGACATTCATATCCTTGAAGTGTTCCATCAATTTTTAGCTCTTCGTTCTTAATTTTTTGTGTTCTTATCACATCTTACAAAGTCACAACATCTTTTATATTTTAGGTTACCTACCCAAATATTATGTATTCATTTAATTACTTGACACCCAACATCAATGTTGATTATTTTTACATAATATGATAATTTACAATAGTTAGAAAACAAACATTACATTTTATATTACTTTATAAAACTTAAACATTATACTATTCTATCATTTTTGTATAATACATTTCTTTAAAAAAATGTTATCTTTATGATTGATAAATTTTTAACAGTTTATGGCATCCTTGGGGCTTAAAAATATTGGGCTTCTCTGATGCAAGGATATGGGTTGTTCGCTCATCCACTTGCCGCTTCGGTCATGTAAGCCATTGGGTTTCATTCATATAATAGAGGCAACGAGTGTAATATAAAATTTATTAAAACCGTGAGGCAACCTAAGACATAGTATTACTTAATTATGGTTTTTTTTTATAAATTTATACCTTACCGTTTGGTGATAATTTTGTAATCAGGTACATGAATATACCTCGATACTTCATTTATATAAATATAAAATATTCTCAAAAATATCTCTTCATTATTCTAATTTAGTAAAAAAAAAAATATATATATATATATATATAAATAAAAATATGAAAGCCAAAAATGTAATCCATCATAAAATTATTGAACCTTAAAAAAAAACCCCAGAAATAAAATATTACATTTCCAAGACTATGATGTTAATGTATATTGCATAATACGATATGTACTTAACTTCAAATATTATTACTATTAACTTTTTAACATGTAGGATGTATTAGGAAACAGTTAGTAATAATTAATGACAAACTGCATTACTGCAATGTACATTTATTATAATCATTGTTTAATAATTATTTAATTATTATTAATTTACCTTACGCATCGAATATTTGAAATATTTTTTTTTAATTTTTTTAATAATGTGTCTATAGTCCTAAAGATAAATTTGTAAAAATGCCTCCTAATAATTATACTTATTGCAGCTAATTAAAATTTAAGGAGTACAGTGTCAAACCTGTGGGAGAACCTCTCACAGTAAAGCACTTCCTTAATCCTTATATACTGTCAAAACTACATAGATACAAGAAAAAGCTTAGGAATGTCTGATAATCTCTTTGAACCTCTTTGCACAATAGAACCTAATAATTAACCTAGTTGTTGATAATAAAGGTAGTCAGACTTATAAGTTATAAGTAATCTTGTATTAAATTTTCAAATCTTAAATATGAAAAGAAAAATTTTTGTGCTCATAAAAAATTATTGCCTATTTAAATTCAATTTTTTTTTAATTGCCACTTACAACTTATGAAGAATCTTGTGTAACTACATTTTCAAGTTTTTGACTAAGCAAACATTTTTTATCGCTGTACATTTTTAAAAAAGACTAGTAATAATCGAAAATTGCATATGTCTATAAATGCTCATTATGGGTTAAAATATTTTTATGGCTTATAGAAAATGTCAATATATACATTCAGTGAAAATCGTGAAAGTTTCGAGTATCTACACTTCAACAGTAATTTGTTTCTGAGTTACATTAAAACCGATTTTGCGTAAAAATTCCCGTTTTTTCCTAATTGTTTGTTGGTTTTCCCCTGTGCTTTTGAAAACTACTGGAATTTAGACCTCCCGAATGCACCATCTAAATTCACTTTCTCACCAGAAGAGATTCTGAAGTTGAACATCGAAGCATTACATCTTCTAAACACAATGTTGTAAAATCAGTACATTCATCGTCATCGCCCCGCTTAGAATCTATAAATTATAAATACTTTATCTATAACGGTTATAAGTTTATAACCGTGGTATCTATCATGAAAATATATATTGCTTAACTGCATTAATTTCCGTTTGAGCGCTAGTTGCGCTTCTCGCAGGCCGTATCGTGACGATAGACATTCGGCATGAAAAATAATACTGTGTTGAGTAACCCGTATATTTATCGTGTTTAATGTTTATACCACACTTCACGTGTGATTCATATACTCTAAAGTGTAATTTGTAGACTTGTAGTTTGTACCACAAAGACATACCTGTATCTTTAATCGTGGTTTGTACACATAACCTAAAACTAATCATTTAAAATAAGAATTTAAGTTATTAATTCAGACTTTAGAGTTTCATCTTTCGTATTCGTGCACAGTGGTCTTATAAAATTGACAATATGAGTGAAGACATAAGTAATTATTTAAAGAATCTAGTTTGAGAATACGTAATTTTTGTAATTTTTTTATTCACAGAATTTCCAGGTCCCAGCCTGGAGTTGAAAATAATGGCTGAAGACAGAAAATTTTCCAGTCTGAAAGACCATGTATGTGAAAATACATTAAAAGGTATAGCAGACATGGGATTTACCGTGATGACTGAAATCCAAGCCAAAACTATACCTCCATTATTAGAGGGTCGTGATTTAGTTGGAGCCGCAAAAACTGGCAGTGGAAAGACATTAGCCTTTTTAATACCTGCTGTAGAATTGATTTACAAGCTTAAGTTCATGCCCAGAAATGGTACTGGTTGTATAATTATATCTCCTACTAGAGAGTTATCAATGCAGACATATGGTGTGTTAAAAGAATTGATGAAACACCATCATCATACTTATGGTCTTATGATGGGAGGTGCAAATAGACAAACTGAAGCTACAAAATTATCCAAAGGTAATTTTTTTACAGTATTTATTATATTAACAATAGGTATAAATTGCATGAAAAAACAATCATTTGTGCATTTGTTAAACTCACAGATTTCACACCTTGGTCATCATATTTATGAGAATGTCAGCTCATTGTTTGTTTGCTCCTTAGGCCCATACGTAATGTTGCAAATTTGGGTTCATCATAATTTATGATTCATAGCCAATCGTCTGTTTTTATCTTTAATTTAAACAATTAAGAGTGAATTATTAAACACTATCATAGGCATTATGCATTTCTTTTGAAGTTGTATAATATATGCAGTAAAACTTCCATAGGTTTCCTATTACAAAATCTCATGGCCTCATGGGCAACAATAAAAAAAAATATTCTAATATTCTATAGATAATTTTGTAAAATAGAATTAAATACATTTAGATCTATTTCGGTTAATTCTCAAAAATATTTAGTTAAAAAACAAAACATGATCCTCAAAAATACATAAAAAATGCAAAGTTTGCTATGTAGAAGTTTCAATGAAATTGTACTAGAAATATGTTATTACAGTGGACACATATTTACTGTAAATAGTTTTATAATTAAGGACTACCTACTTATATCTCTCACTCTATGTGGATAATTGATAAGTCTGATAGTCTTGACTCATGATAATGGAACATGTCCAAAATGTTTTATGATTGTTAAAGATTATCACGAGATTTGGGATGGTAGGATTTAAATTCACCCTTAGCCCTCTGTGATTTGGTCCAATGTTTTATGTTTGAACTTTAACTTTCTATTTTTAGATTTTAAGGAAAGTAATGAATGTATTGATTTTATTTTGATGTGTGCTATTTTTGGGTGAAGACACTTTCAAGTAGAAAATTGCAACAATTATCATTTTTTTTTTGTATTTATATGTTGTGATTACTATTTTTTTCAACAATTATTTAATACAATATAGATTTTGTTTATAACAAGAAACAGTAACAATGTAAAATTAAATTAAAAAGCCTGAATGCTTATAAAGAAAGATAATATGTTCAATATGATGTTTTTTTGTTAGAGACAATAAGTGGTCACAATGTGTTAAAAGGCTGGGGCAGGATTATCAATTTAGAAGGAGGTTTCTGGTAGCAAATTGGACCTGTAGTTTGTTCTATAACTGATTACTTTTTAAATATCCCATGTTTTAAAAATGTATCCAAAAACTTTTTATTTAATATTAAAATATCAATTAGCATCAATTTCAATATTTATTATCCTTCATTCATGAAAAATATTTTTATTTTTAGGCATAAATCTAGTTGTTGCCACCCCTGGAAGATTATTAGATCACTTGCAAAATTCTCCTGATTTTCTTTACAAAAATCTTCAATGTCTTATTATTGACGAAGCTGATCGTATTTTGGATATTGGATTTGAAGAAGAAATAAAACAAATAATAAATTTATTGCCTAGTAAGTTTTTTCAATCAAATATTGGTATTATTATTTTTTTTATATTAATACATAATCAAAATGCGTTTAGAACGAAGACAAACAATGCTATTTAGTGCCACTAAAACACCCAAAACTGATGCATTGACTACTTTTGCATTGAAGAAAGAACCCATTTATATTGGTGTGGATGACAGTAAAGACGAAGCTACAGTTGACGGTTTAGAACAAGGATATGTTGTGTGTCCATCTGAAAAACGATTCTTACTGTTGTTTACATTTTTAAAAAAAAATAGAAAGAAGAAAGTTATGGTATTCTTTAGCTCGTGTTTGGCAGTAAAATATTTTCACGAACTGTTAAACTACATAGATTTGCCTGTTATGTGCATACATGTAAGATTTTATATTCTATTTATAATTGTATTTGCAATAGCTTAATTTGATTGCAATTTAGGGTAAACAAAAACAAGAAAGGCGGACCACTACATTTTTCCAGTTTTGTAATGCTGAAACTGGCATATTGTTGTGTACTGATGTTGCAGCCAGGGGATTAGATATTCCATTAGTTGATTGGATTGTTCAGTTTGATCCCCCTGATGATCCCAAAGTGAGTATATTTAACTTAACATAATATGAATAATAAAGAAGTTGCTTAATTATTATATGTTTCTAGGAATATATTCACAGAGTAGGACGTACAGCTCGAGGTGAAGGTAGCAGTGGACATGCTTTATTAATTTTACGTCCTGAAGAATTAGGATTCCTACAATATTTAAAAAAGGCAAAAGTACCATTAAATGAATTTGATTTTTCATGGAATAAAATATCGGATATACAACTACAACTTGAAAAACTCGTAGCCAAAAATTATTTCTTGCATATCTCTGCGAAAGAAGCATTTAAGTCATATGTTCGTGCTTATGATTCACACCATCTAAAACAAATATTTGATGTTGGAACTTTGGATATTACAAAAGTTGCAGCTTCATTTGGATTTACTACACCTCCGGCTGTAGAATTAAATGCAAAAGCAGTTAGACCGCGAAAACGACATGGCGGTGGTGGTTTAGGAAAATTCAATAATATGAATAAAGGTGATAAAAAAGTATTTAAATTTGTACAACCTCCAGAAAAGAAGAAAAAAAATAAATGATTAATACTGATTTTTTAATGTACTCTATTATTTTTTATTAAAATTTGTTTGTAACATTAGGTATCTTATTTATTCATGAAATATACAAATATAAATAGGTTAATTACAATACATGTGAGTTATGAGTGAAAAACAGTCACTCAAGTGGCCCAAAAATAATTCTAATTTTTTTAACACATTCATTTCTTGAGTGATACAATCAATATAATATATATATATATTTCACCATAAACATTATGGTTAACTGAAGTTGAAGATAGGAC